CACACCACACACAACACAACACGCAACAACACACACAACACACAACACGCAACACGCAACACACAACAGCACACATGCACGCAGGCACACACAACCACCCGCACACGAATACACGGACGCGCGCACGCAAACACACGCACCCGCACACGCACCCACACACACGCACACACACATCACACAACACAGTCACACACACAATACACCATACACGCGCCACACACAACGCACAACACACACACACACCGCACACAGACACAACACAGAACAAACAACACGCAACACACAACAACACACATGCACGCACGCACACACACACCTGCACACGCATACACGGACGCACGCACGCACGCACACACACCCACACTTACCCAGCCACACGCGCACACACACATGCACATACGCACGCACGAACACACACACACCCGCACACACATGGACGCACGCACGCACACACACACACCCGCACACACGCACGCACGCACGCACGCAAACGCGCACATCCGCACACGCACGCGCATACACATACGTACACGCACACGCACACGCACGCACACGCACACGCACACGCAATCGCAATCGCACACGCCACACAACACACTCAGCACACACAACACACAACACACAACAGACAACACACAACCACAGCGCACAGCACACGCCACACATCACACAACACACAGTACACACCACACCACACAACACATAACACACAACCCACAACACAATACACAACACACACAACACACGTACGCAACACTCCACATAGCACAACACATGCACATCCACCCACACAAACACAGACACAGACACAGACATAGCCACAGACACGGACACAGGCACACATGCAGACGCAGACACATGCTCAGACACAGACACAGACACAGGCTCAGACACAGAAGCAGACGCAGACACACACACACACAAAACACACACAGACGACACACATTCACGAAAGACGCGGATCTCCGTGGAATTATGGGACATCTTTGCATTCCGGAAGCTATGAACGGGAAGAGGAGGGAAACGGAAGGGAAAAAGGTGTACAACACACAAAACACGCTGGTTTCCGCGATGCCATGGGAAATTTTAGACGCTTCGCGTATCCCCTCCAGCCCATCCAGAAACGATGTCCAGGCGAGTTGAGGTGATCAGGGAAGTGTGGGAGCAAAGACGGGGACGGCCGAACCGTGCGAAGGAGGGAGGAGGAGAAGGAGGAGGCTGGATGGATGGATGAGGGAGTGGGAAGAAGGAAAATATACATGACAATGATGATGATGATGATGATGATGATGATGATGATGATGATGATGATGATGATGATGATGATGATGAGGAGGAGGAGGAGGAGGAGGAGGAGGAGGAGGAGGAGGAGGAGGAGGAGGAGGAGGAGGAAGGGAAGGAGTAGGAGGAGGAAGGAGCAGGAGGAGGGCAAGCAAAAGGGCCAGAGGTCTCATGGATGCCTCTCTGGAGCCTCTCGGGATATCTCTTGGGCGCTTCTTGGGGGCCTCTTGGGACGTCTTGGGGGTCTCTTGGCGTTCCTGGGGAACTCTTGTGCGTCTTGGGTGCCTTGGGGGGGCTCTTGGGGCCGCTTGGGGTCCTCTTGGGGGCCGCTTGGGGGCCTCTTGAGGCCATCTTGGGGCCATCTTGGCGCCTCTTGGGGCCTCCTGGGTGCTTCTTGGGGCCATCTTGGAGGACATCGATCAAAGAAGGGGGGTCCCTTAATTAGCCTCGCCCCTCGGGAGCCCCCCAAGTTGCCTTTTTGAGCGTTCTTGGGGCGCTCTTGGAGCGCTTTTGGGCGCTCTTGGGGCCGTCTTGGGGCTCCCTTGGGCCCCTCTTAGGGCTCTCTTGGGCCAAATCTTAAGGCCTCGAATGGCCATCGGAAGCGAAAAGGCGAGAAAGCAAACAACATTGATTCTCGTAAGGTTTTTGAAGGATTTTGGCCTCTTGGGGGTATCCTTGGGGAGCTCTTTTGGCATCTTAGAGCCGTCTTGGAGCAGTCTTGGGGCGTCTTGGAGTATCTTGGGAGCCGTCTCGAGGCATCTTGCGCTATCTTGAGCCATCTTGGAGCTCATCTTGGGCTCGCTGACGCCCTCTTGGGGCCATCTTGGGTCATCTTGGACGCCCTGACCGCTCGCGGGGCGTCCCGTCCAGGTCCAGGGGAGGGGGTAAAGGTCGGGGTAAACCCCTCCCCAAAAGGGAAGAAGGGAGGTGGAAGAGAAAACGCTCTAGACCACCAACGCCCAGAGGGCTGGTGGGATCTTGGGACCTGGGAGGGCAGAGGCAGATCCAGAACAACGTGGCAGATCATTGGGCCTCCCAGACTGTGTGCCGATGCGTTGGTGCTCCCCCTTGGGCCCCCTGCGAGGTGCCCGAGGGCGTCGCCCTGGGCTGCAGCGGCACGCGCCGCCTCTTCGCCGCGGGCGCGGTGGCGGGCGTGGCGGGCACCCTGCTCGCCGTCGGCGCCCTCGACGTGCTCGGCATCATGTCCGCGTCGCGGGAGGCGACCGTCGGAGTCACCCCCCCCTTCCTCCTCGGCGGGCACAAAGACGGAGTCATACACAAAGACGCGGCGGCGGAGTCATACACAAAGACGGAGTTCATCCCCCCGTCGGAGTCATACACAAAGACGCGGCGGCACGATGAACACTGCTCTCCTCCCTCCCCTGAGGACGTCCCGTCCGGAAGACGTCCGGCCCCCCGCCGCGTACTGTGTTTTTTTAACACCGGAGTTCCGGGAGTTGGGTTTTCGCTTGGTTTTTTAGTGGTGTGTTTTTGGTGTTTTTGTGTGTACGTATATATACATGTATATATAGAGATATACATGTATATATATGTATATACATGTATATATATGTATATACATATATATATATATATATATATATATATATATATAAAATATCACATGTCTCTCTCTCTCTGCCGGCGGAAGGGGATCGGGGCCGCCAGGTCGGTACCTGCGTCCCCCATGGCCGGCCCGGGGCACCGGGAGCGCTCCTGTCCGGGCCCAAAGGCGGCCAAGACGTGCCCAGGGAGGCGCAAGTGGCCCCCGAGCCGGTCCTACACGGCCCCTGGGGCGCTCAAAGATCGGGAGACTCTCCATGGGGGGGGATCCCATGGGGGGCAGGAGGTGATCCCCCCCATGGGATCCCCTCCTGCCCCCCCATGGGATCCCCAGGGGATCCTATGGGATCCCGCCGCCGTCCGTCGCGCCGCCGTCCGTCGCGCCCTCGCCCGCGACGCTTCTGGGGACCTCGCCGACCGCCTGGGATCCTATCCCCCCATGGCATCCCCCCCCATGAAGAGTCTCCCGAAAAGATCGCCCCTGGACGCTCAAGATGGCTCCCATGGAGCCCAAGAAGCCACTACAACGCCCCAAGCTGCTTTCCAAGAATTGTCCCCGGAGGCGCCAGGGCGCTCCCAGGACTGCCTGTAGTGGCTCCAGGATGTCCTCAGGACAGCCCAGGAGAGGTCCGAGACGGCCCGGGAGCACTCTAAGACGGCTCCAGATGGCTCCAAGATGAGCCAAAAAGCTTCCAAAGCGTCCCAGCAGGCTTCCGACAGCATTCCCGGGAGATGCCGAAGAGACAACATTTACCGATTTTCTGTGGTTTTGAAGGATTTTAGCGTTCTCCCCAGCTCATCTTCCGAAAGCTCCAAGATGGCCCAAAAGGCAAAAGGCTCGAAAGATGACCCGAAGACGGGCCAAGAGGCCTCCAAAAGAGAGCCGAAATAACCCAAGAGAGCCCAAAGACAGCCCAAGAGGCTTCGAAGGCGGCCGAAAAGGGCACCAAGAACTTTTCAAGAGGGGCCCCAGAGGGGGAACACGAACCGAATTTCGACCCCTCGCTTATTTGAAGCCCCCTAGAGGCACCCAGGAGTCCCCAAAAGACCCTCGAGAGGCCCCCAGGAAACCCCAAGAGGTCTCCAAGAGGCCCCCGAAAGATCCCCAAGAGACCCCGAAGAGGCTCCAAGAGGAAACCACGAAGTACCCAAGAGGCCCCCGAGAACTCTCCAAGAGGCCTCCGAAAAGCTTCCACCACACATCTCCCAACAGGCATCCAGCAGGCCACTGGCCCATCACCCAGGAATTGCTGCCCTAGGCCTACAACCCAAGTCCCCCAAACGGCTCAAGCGGCATCTAAGACGCTGCGGAGATATCGACGAGTTCGGCGGGAGAGCCTCCGCAGGCACAACTACGAACAGGGGCGCCCTGAGCTGGACACCGTGTGTCGTCACAGTCGTTCGCGAAGGGCCCATCATCACCCCTGTCATTGTCATTACGATTGCCCCACGCCGTGGTTCCAGGGTTAAGCTGCCTTTTGCGATTCATGCCCCACACGTATCACAGGCCAGAGCGCACATGTTTGAATTTCCCGGTATCCCTCCTCCTTCTCTTCTTCCTCCTCTTCCTCTTCCTCCTCCTCTTCCTCCTTCTCCTCTTCCTCCTCCTACTCCTGATGTTCATGATGATGGTGTTGATGCTGACGACGAACATGATGATGGTGATGCTGATGATGATGATGATGCTGCTGATGATGATGTTGATGGTGATGATGACGGTTGCGGAGGCAGTGACCAGAGCGATGGCAATGGCGATGGTGACGGTGGTGTTGATGATAATTGTGATGGTGATGGTGATGGTGACAATGATGATTACGTAGGATGAGGATGATGAGGAGGATGATGCTGATGATGGCGATACCAACGACGACGATGGCGATTGTGTTTATGATGAGGATGAGGATGGTGGTGATGATGACGATGACTATGATCCTAGCTAGAACCTAAGCGCGCGCAACACGCGCGTGGCTTTAGTACATATATGTACGTGCGGGTGTATGTATGTATTCACGATTCTATGTCCGTGTTCGCATGCCAGAGGAGTTATGCATCACTTGGCCTGGCGAAGGGCCCATCCCTATTCAGGTGCGTGTAGCGCAGGGCGCGGCTCTCTCTTCAAATACGGTCCGCCGCGGGGCAGACCTGATAAAGGGGGTCGCTGCAGAGCTAGCGCGCACATGCACGCTGAGCTCCCTGAGGGGCGCGATCCGCGTGAAGGGGGTGGCCGCCGCGCGAGCGCGCCGACAGGGCGTAGATGGATCTCGTTGTGGAGCGTGATCCGAGTGTAGCAGCGCCGAGACGGGCGTGGGGACGCCATGCGAAATTGCCCATGGGTGCCACAGATGGAGATCTTTGCGGGTTACGATCCGCGTCAGGGGTGTGCCGAAATATGCTGAAGGACGCCATGCGACCCCTCTTGTTGGAGCCGTCGGTGGAGCTCCTTTTGGGCGCGATCAGTGTGAGTGGTGTGCCAAAATAGGCGTGAAGACGCCGTGCGAACCTTCTTTCTGGGACCGTGGGTGGAGCTCCCTTTGGGGCCACGATCCCTGTCAGGGGTGTCCCGCTATGGGTGGAGCGGATGCGAAGCTTGTCTCTGGGGCTAGTGGGTGCGCTCCCTGTGGGGCACGATCCGTTTGAGGAGTGAGTCGACATATGCGGGGGGACGCTATGCGAATCCTCCCAGTGGTGCCGCACGTTGAACTCTCTCAGTGAGGCACCTTCCGTGCGTGCGAAGGGTGTGGCGAAATGGGCGGAAGGGCGTCATGCGAACTTTGACTCTGGCGCCGTAAGTGGAACTCCCAGAGGGGCACGATCCGTGTGAGGAGCGTCCCACAATTGGCCGGGTGACGCTGTGAACCCTGCGTTTGTCTGGGTGTGAAGGGTGTGCCGAAATGGGCTGAGGGACCATCCTGCCTCCAAATGCTCCTGCCTGTGTCTTTTCTCGTCCTTCCTTCCGCCTGTATCCTTGCCTTTCCCTCCTCCCTCTTCCTACCCGTTTATCTGTCCTACTACGTTATCCCCCGGAAGGCGGGTCGCTCTTGCCTGGGGAACCTCTCCCTTGGTGTCTTGGGACGTCGTGTATTAGCGCAAGGTCCACTGACGACGACTGCGCAGTCGGCCAGACAGTTGCCGAAGGCGTCAAAACGGGCCAAGAGTGCACTCGGCCAGCTCGGGAACCTCCCGAGGGCTCCAAGCTGGCCCCAGAGCCCCCAGGAGGCCCCCGAGATGCCCCCGAGAGGCTTCCAACCAAGCGGCCCGCCTCCAGATGCCCGTGGAGAACAGCCGCCCAGATGTTCCCAGAGACCTTTCCGGGAGTATCCTTGCGGAGGAGGAGTAGTAGTAGGAGGAGGAGAAGGAGTAGGAATAGGAGTAGGAGTAGGAGCAGGAGTAGGAGTCAAGCTAGCCAGCTTGAGCGAGTCAAGCATGGCATGCCCATTCCCACCCGCCCTCCCACAACATAAGAAACAGTGCGGGCGCAACCTGGGACCGAAGTCAGATCGGCAAAGTGGTTTGCCACAGCTGATGCAGCCGCGATGGTGGTTACCGATGGGAAATTCCTGGCGCGTCTCAAAGACTGCGCTGGCATTTCAGCACGAGCCGAGGAGGCCCCAGGAAGCCTCAGGAGGCCCCAGGAGGCCTCAGGAGGCCCTAGGAGATTGCAGGAAACCTTAGCGACCCCCAGGAGGCTTCAGGAGGGCCCAGGAAGCCCCAGGAGGTTCCAGGAGGCTCCAGGAAACCTTCGGAGGTGTCAGGAAGCCTCCGAAACTCCCAGGAACCCCCAGGATGCTTCAGGAGGCCGCAAGAGGATCCACGAGGCCCTGGGGAAGCCCTGGGAAGCCCCAGGATGATCCAGGGGATCCTGGGAGGCCCCAGGGGTCCCTAGGCGCTCGACGAATTGGCGAACGAAAAATCTGCGCCGCACCTTAGCAAAAGTGCAACTTTCAGAAAACATACGCGCGGTGCCGAAGCGGGAGCGACATTTTGCTATCTCGCGCACGAAATGCACCGCGCCCCCTTCCTGCCACTCGCAAAGCCGACGACAAGAAAGTCTTCGCTGAGAAGAAGCATGTCGACTTGATATTTGTTTTGGATAGGTAGCATGGCCGCTCCCGCTTGGGGTTGCCCCAGACGTCCGCGCGCGATGTGCGCCGCGTCCCGCTCGTCCTACGCATTTCGCATCGTCGACGACAAGAAAGGCCATGTTGCTAGGAACAACGGAGACTTTGTATTGATTTTTATCTGTCAGGATAGGAGGGCCCGGGTCGACGTCCGCGCGAGATGTGCGCTGCGTGTCGTCGACGACAAGACAGGCCATGCTGAGAGAAAGAACGATGATGTGGTATTATTTTTTAGAGTCAGGATGGGAGGGCCCGGATTGACGGGCGCGCGCGATGTGCGCCGCGTCCTTTTCCTGCTACGCATTTCGCATCGTTGACGACAAGAAAAGGCCATGCTACGAGATACCACGACGACTTCGTATTGTTTTTTCAGTTAGGAATGGGGGGGCCAGATTGACGGCCGCGCGCGATGTGCGCCGCGTCCCATTCTTGTTTCGCATTTCGCATCGTCGACGAAAAGACAGGCCATGCTGAGAAAACAAACGACGACTTTGTATTGATTCTATCCAGTTAGGATGGGAGGGTCCGGGTGGGGCCG